AAATTTTTTTACCTGTTTTGGATTCCCGAAAAAACTTTTTTTTTTTTTTTTTTTTTTTTTTTTTTTTTTTTTTTTTTTTATATATATATATATATATATAGCTATCTATATATCAGTTGGAAGATAGAAAATAAGCGAAAGGAAGAGGTATGTGCGCATTCATAGTAAGAAAAGATGAAAGAATTAATTACCTTCTTTTACAAGCAAATTCTATACGACGACAACTAACACAGATCTAACAGTAAAAACTCGATAATGCGGGAAAAAGGTGGATTTTTATTTAAAAGATAAATAACAAAATAAGATTAGTTCAATAGGTATATTATGCGTGATTGTGGTGTGAATGCATTATTGTGCCCCAAAAAAAGTCACTAAGGTTTATTCATTTGAAACAATAGTTATTTATATATTTATTTTATTACATGTGAAAAAGAAATGGTGTCAAAAGGATTGATCAGCATACATAATGTTGTTCATCAATAACCAACTATAGTAACTTGTATCTCTATGGCTTATAGCTTAAGGGCAGTGTTGTTTTCCTAAGGTATATCAAAAAAATTCAAACCTCTTTATTAATTTAGAAATGAATCATATTAAGGAATACTTTATCGGTTCGATTGATTGATTGATTTCAGGGACATGCCGAGAATTGCACAAATTTCGTCCCTGGTGAACACTTTAATCACGTGCTTGGCTTATAACATGTCATTTTATCATCATTTCGGAAAAATGCCTCCATAAAATATATTTACCTCAATTTTTTTTTAGTTCTTTCATATGTTTATAGCTTAATTTGAAATTCATTTACATGTGTCAAAAAATCGCATGACAAATCTTCCCGATAAGGATTTAGAGTTTTTACGCGTCATAACTTGATTAAATGAAAGATTAAAGCGTCTATTATTTTGATATCAAGCTTCTTCATTTGCTATTAGTTGTATATAATTAACTAATCCATAATCGTCGAATAATAACGTCTCTTCGATAAATTTCGAGAATCAATCTTTTCGTGAAGATCGATTTATTCAACGAAGATCCCACTTCGGTGGATTGGCGGAATTGGAGGTCCTTTTATTTGGATCCCTAGATTTAAGTACGAATATTTAAAAAATACAATTATATTTAAAGGATACAATTCCACTAATCAGCAGAGAGGCTCTGATCCGTTTAAAGTATTCTCATGTGAAATTAACAGTTAAGTATATATTTGCTATCTGTAGTTTCCTTCTATACGCTAATTTGTCCATTATCTCGGATGTACTATCTCTATATTGAACACTCCGTAATTTGTAATACTTTAAAACATGTCAAAAAAAGTTACACGTTTATGCTAAGCCTGGGATTAGGTTCTCGTGTCAGGTAATTGCTGACACACTAGTCGAATGCATTAAAAACATTAAAAATTTAAATAATGATTATCATTATTTTCATGATTTGTCATGTGTTTAATGATATAGATGGCTGGCTCAGCTCACGGTTAATGTTGACCAAGCAGACCAGAGTTGAGCATATGCTGAGCCATCTATAAGCCAGACATCTAGACACTTCTACAGTCATGTGTTGTGGCGCGTGAACCCTTGTCGATAATGACCAAAGTACCGGTAACCGGCTTAGCTTTTTTTTTTAAAAAATCGGCGTTATACTATTCCTAAAGTTTCCGACTTGGAGTAACGGTAAGATCGAAGTCAAATTTTTAAAAAAGATCTGAAATAAAATCGGTTAGTCAATTAAACCGGCTAAGACGATCCGAAGACGATCCGATCCGCTTAGTCATAATTGTTAATAACAATCGGTTAAAATTACTATATACTGTATCTGATATTAAAGTTTTTTTAGTTAACAGTATAGATAAAGAACTTTGTATGCCTAAAATAATTTGGCATGTCACATTGGGGTGTGGCTTAAACTAATTAAATCAAACATTATATATATATACTGTAGTATATATCATTAATTTCGGATTTTTTACAGGCCGTATATTTAAATTTACATTTTTTTAGCACAAGTATCTAACAAATGTGTATATAATTTTTTTTAACTTGAAGCTCTCAACTAACTCTACATAATAATGGACTATTTTAAATGAATTTTTTAAAAAATTTGTAAAAAATTAATTAAATGATTAATAATTAATATTTATGTAATAGTTGTATGATTTTAATAAACTATTGATACTTGTGCTAATAAATGTAACTTTAGTTTTATAATTATTTTTTTTAATTAGAGTATATATATATATGAGTGTCGCCAAGCGAAAACCTACAGTTTCGATTTTTGCCGGCTCCGCTTTCTGATCCGATTCCTGATCTGATTCCTGATAAATTTAAATTAAGCACAACATATATCGATATTATATGGTGTGTTAAATTACATTTTTTGGGGTTGATCTGTAAAAATAATTTCGGAAAACTCACAATTCCTGGTTTTCGCTTGGCAACACTCATATATATATCGTTAACAAAATTAATTAACGATTAATATATATCGAAATTTAGCCATTAATAAATCCGAAATTAATAATCTTTCTAAATTAGTTGAGGCCGCACCCTAATGTCACATTGGGGTATAATATTTGATATACTATGTAAATCAAAATTATACATGAATAAAAATTTGATACTGTATAAAAAGATTTTATGTTGATATACTGTATGAGATCATGATCACGGAATCGATATTAAGTCCCAAAACAAAATTACAGAACAAAATTTATACTGTATTTTAATTACCAATTACAATAATTTAATAATAAAGAATCAATTTGTATCAAGAGGACCCCGGATAATACAGAGGTACGAGTTGAGTTAATAGTGGCATTTTGTCCGCTTTAAGACTTCAAATTTGGTCCTTTTAAGTCTTGTATCCTCTAAATTCCGATTTATATGCCCATTTAATTATATAACATATAATTTTATTTCGGAACGTTTCGGAGTTTGCAAAAAATATTTGCTCGTATTTTAGGTTCTTTCATTTTCTACTCCGGAACTTTTTTAATAATATAACCCCGTCAAAAGTTAAAATTTCTTGTCCGGTTTAATAATCGTATTCCTATTAATATTATCCTATCAAGACTTTAGGTAATAAAAAAAATGTACGATCCATGCATCTAAAAACAACGACTAATTTTACATATAAAAAAGTGCCTCCGCAATTTATTTTAACGTCTGACTCAGGGATGTTGAATACTTCCATTAAGAATAAAATGGAATAAAATGGAATTATTATACGTAGCTGAAATTATTAAGTTTTGATAGTAAAATAAAATGGAATTTTATTGAAGTATTCGCCGTTCCTGGTCTGACTATTAGAAATCATATGACCATATATAATTGTCCGAAGCAGGGACTATGAATACTTCCGCAATAAATTCCATTTTATTTTGCTATGGTTAAATAATTTTTTTTGTCCAATCAAAATTCAATTTCGAAATAGTTTCAGATTTGATAATTCCATTTTATTATTAATGGAAATATTTAGACAATAGAGCACCTGATGTCTTTAAGCTAAATTTGATTGGCCAGATCAGGTGTAGTGTAAAATGGTTTCCATTTTCTTAATTTAGATTTGCATAGTACAGTTGATCTCGTTAATATCAACCTCATTAAGATCAACCTAAACTATAAAATGAATTTCTATATATATATTAAAATTTTATATTAAAATTTCCTCATATATATAAACTTTAAATATGATCCCTCATTAATATCACTATCAATGGGAATATGGGGTCTTTGCCTTGAAAATCGAGTTACGGAATATAGTAAATCATATGTCCCATACATGATTTTCAAGGCAAAGACCCCATATAAATGGGTTGATATTAACGAGGGTCAATTGTATATCTAACACCCGATGTCACATGGCATGCTATTTAACAAATAGCGATAATACGTATACGTATGGTATACAGTATAATAGCAGATAAAAAAATTTTTTTTACGTAAGATACGTATTAATTTTATTTAATCAATTATATGATATATATATATATATTACATTATTATTGCATATAATTTCTAGATAATCTTAAGTCTAGGCAATGGGTAAAAAATTTTTCCTGTATGGGTTCCAAATTCCGTCCACAGGAGTGTAGGATAATGCCAAAATTACGTCTGATTACATAAGTCCGCTACGGTTCCAGATTTAATTTGGCAGCAGATATTAATAGTAAACCGCTATTTTTTTTTTACGCAGATCTAAATCATGAAAACGAAATCGATAGTTTAACAAAAGTAGAAAGTTCGTGCTGGTATGAACAAAATTTATATAGAAAATTTATGCTAAAATGAATAGTACAGGATAGTGCCATGAATAAAATAGGCAAAAACGAGGTATAAACAGTATATATTACAATTTAAAATGCCATATAAGTTTTCGCATTCAAATAAATAACAGGATAAGGAAATTTAACTTATTATCACGATGTTATAGAATACATTTCATAAAATACCGTCTAATTGAAAATCATATGGTTTTCATCGTAATCAAAATATTATAGTATGATTCTCGATTTGTCTATCGAATCATGTTACCGGTATTTTTTTTTATTACATCATTGAACAGAATCTTAAAGTACACATAATAACAACATATAAAAAAAGCCTCGTATAGCATACAAATACAGGAATTCCAGGATAAAGTCACAAAGCCAATCAGATGTAGAGAATCACACATATCATTTCACATTACTCTTCTCTGCACTCTGTTCTTGGTATTTTAAGATTTAACATACAAGAAATAAAACCGGTTCTTAGCTCTAACGCTAATATGTAAAGAAATTAAGCCTCACTTTGCGTGAATTCAAGTCTATACAATCACGAGAATAGATCATCCAATCAAATGCAAGATATATATCATTTAACTTGCTCTCTCTTCATTGCATTCCGCTCTTGCTGTTCAAACCCATGAGATAATGATGCATTTTAGTTACATGTCTCTATTTATTAAAAAAATAGAAACCTAGATTGATTAAAGGTATTGTGATAAGTACTCTTGCAAGTCTAGTTTTTTATCCCGGTGTAAATCATGAATTTCGAGTGATAGTTTCTTGGTGTGATATTAAATGCAATGTTATACGAGTACAATCTCTATTCGTGGATCTAATTTTTATATTGCCGGACCCATATTGTAGTATTCAAATAATAATTTTTACTATGTATTTCCGGGTCACAATTTCTGAATGTAAAATTAAATTTTTATATTAAAAAATTTAAATAAAAATTCGAGCGGGCGTCCTGTTATAAGAACAAGTAATTAATTGTATATGGCCTTAATTTCTTTTATTAACGGTTATGTTTTTTAGTGATGGCAACATGCACAGTATTGTCATAGCTCAAACAGATTTTGATATTGAACAACGCAAAACTTTATTATGACAATTTACTTTAAGCTGTTATTTACAAGCTACAGTAGATGAGATCAAGGAGAAAGCATATATGCATGTGTTGCCTTTTTTTAGAAAAAAAAATAATACGTAACAGGATAAAGACTGACATAAAATAGATTGTTTTTATCTATAAAAAGCTTGATAAAAGCAATATGACTATCGGATTATTCTACATAGAAATTCGGAATCAATAAATCCGGGTACATATCGGCTGATTTTGACAATTACTATTAAAAATTTAAAATCTTTGATGGTGAATAACTTTTGACCCACTGATCAGTCTTGGACAATTTTACCACCAAAATGACCGTCTTGATGAGACAATTCTAATGAATTCAAAATCGCTAAAATCCAATCACAGGATCACTAGATACTTAAGCTTTGCTTACATCGGGTAAAATAGGATGTGTTTAACCCATCCTACTTTACCCGATGTAAACCAAGCTTTAACGATCTCAAGATCCCGTGATTGGATTTTAGCGATTGTCCAAGACCGATCAGTGGGTCAAAAGTTATTCACCATCAAAGATTTTAAATTTTTAATAGTAATTGTCAAACGATGAGTTGATGCCCAGCGGTGTCTTTTTCTTAGTAGTGTAACACAGTATATCACTTTTTCCTTTTGAGTTACTAAATTACTTTTTTTTTTGTATGTACAATATGTGTATATTTAATTTTTGATACAAAAGAACTTGAAGAATTTACATATACGTATAAAAAGTATCAGTATATAAATAAAATATAATTACATGAACTATACATAAAAATGGAGAATACTGACGTATTTAAAAAAAACTATATATAATTATTAAAACTCACCCTAAATTAGTGTATATATTATATTATACAAGAATACGTATACGTACAACATATGTAATCACAAGCAAATATTTTTTCGCATGGCATATGCATAAAAAAACAGATACGCAGAAATAACTGCACATAATTGAAAATCGGAGTGCTGGATACGGAAATAGTAAATATATTTTCAATGTCATGTATCCGCATATTTCTAGTTAAATCTCATAATTCGTCATAATTCGTATAATTTTAGAAATTTCATTGCGTAAATTCACATCAATCGACTTATATCGAAATCAGAATTCGGGGTCAGTCGTCGCAGAAAATCATTGATCCTAATATTGATATAGTTATCTAGGTCGGAATTATTGTATTCCGCAGCACCGGAAGTAAACGCGCCGATAGCATTATAGTCGGATTGCCGACCGAGTCCAAATGAACCAAAACTGGGTTTAAATGAATCCAAGCTGGGTTCAAACGAACCCAAGCTGGATTCAAATGAATCCGAGCTGGGTTCAAATGAATCCAAACTGGGTTTAAATGAATCCAGGTTGGACTTAAATGAATCCGAGCTGGGTTCAAATGAATCCAGGCTGGGTTTAAATGAATCCAAGAATGAGGATTTAAATAAATCCAAGTTAGGTTCAGATGAACATACCGAATTTCCATTTCCGTTACGATCGGAGATAGTCATATGAGGGTCTTGTGACTGACTATCTAATATTTGTCCGAATTTTATATTAAAAATAAGAAATTGATTCAAATACAAAGCATTATTTTTGCGAGCTTTGAAACAAGAAAAGCTTTCGAAATATTTTTCAAGTCCTTACCAGTTTCATAATCACACCTTTTCCCATATTTTTCGCATCTTTCACATTGCTTTTTATTAGATATATTTCTAACGCATCTCTTTTTAGATTTACGGCATGGGATACAAGCATATTTCGCACGTTGAACTTTAAAGAGTTTTCTAGTTGTTTTATTAATATCGATATCTTTACTTTGCTGCATAATAAAATGTATATTGTTAATAATTGAATGAGAAAAAAGGGAATAATTATTGTGACTTTCAGGAAAACAGGAAAAAAACCGCCTTTATAAACATACCTCAGTATAATAGGCGGATCGGATCAAGATTGATTATTGAAAATAGGCTTTAAAACTTGCCGCTACTTAAGCCGACCAGTTCAACAGTTAACTGTTTTTTTTGGCAGTTATCTCGAGTAAATAGTGTCTGCAGCATGTACATCTCTACAAAAAATTTTATTCAACATTTCATCATATTTCCATGATTGGTAAGCCGAAGGTATAATTCCATAAATATGCAACATTTATGAATAAAAACATGGATCAGGGCTAACATTTTTATAAAGTTACACTAGTCTAAAATAAAAAATTCAACAAAGCTGAATGGCACAATTCAAAAATGCCACACAACTTTGTTGAATTTTTTATTTTCGATTAATATTAGCCTTGAGTACGATTCTAGACCTTAGAGTACGTCTCTAGACGCCGCGTAACCAGTAAATGCTATGATTATTTAGCATTACCTGCATAGTATAAACTCCGAAAATATTAAACAATTTATAACGAATAAAATTACAATGCTCGATTTGTTATCAAATATGTATACTAAATTCATTTTTAAATTTATATGAATTCAAAAATGATAAATATTGCAATTGAAGTTTAATTCCGATGAACAGGCCCTTTCACAACTTATTAAGGTTTAACGAATTTGAGACAAAATATATAAAATTTTTACTAAATTATATTTGTATGCACTGTATAATCACCCGCAAATGTAACGCCCGACTCTCTATATATAAAAATCGGGCGTTACTTTTTGCTGGTGAAATATGAGATCTTAATATATTATTTTTCACAATTGATCCGACCTTTTTCTCTACCGCTTGTTACATCCGATTCTTTTTTTTTTGACTCCTGTTAAATACAAACCGATTCATTTACCGATTGACTGATGTTTGTTAAATAGACATACATTTGCATATGTGAATAAAATAGATATTGATCTAAACTGAAATGTTCAATTATAAAAGTTATCTTTCAAGTATCTAACACATCTTTTAAAAATACTGCTTTTCATATTTTTTTCCTCACAAGATGTTCTTTTACATACTATGAACCGAATGCAATTTAAAAGATCTCGCTCTTATACGAGCGTAGCACGTATCAATTGTCAAAGAAAAACACGCAAAATGTATTGGAGAGGTTCTTTGTATAACCTGTAAAGAAAGAAGTCTCAAATGGCATGTTATACCGGATAGAAAACGCGGTCCCAAAAAAAGGTCAGTAAGGACCAATAGATTTGATGTTGCTCAAATTACTAAAAAATGCAATGCTAAATGTAACTTTGAATTTTAGAGACTGTTCCAAGAATTCTTTGCATAATAATTCTATTTTCCATAATGGACTGATTCAAACGCAACTAATGCAACTACATAATTATAATGTTCCCATAACAAAATTATAACCATTACGATTTAAAGTTTTTTTATTAATTTTAATAGAGAACAATCATCTTCACTGAAGCTTCAATTCAAGAAATATACTGTATATGGCATTTTCATTATTCTGGTTAACCTCTCTCTCAAATATCTTATTTAATGGTGTCTGCAATTTTGAATTTCATGAAAATAATTTAACTACCAGAACATGTCATCCTAATTATAATTCTCTTTATTAATAATAGTCTATATATTAATGAGTTATAAATAAATATATGTATTTGCATTTATAGTTATTATTGCAATTTTATCTCTATTTCTTATAATTTTTTTCTTTTATCGAAGAATACATTCACATTATTTGTAAAATATAAAATATTAAAATAAAGCGTAGAGTCATCCAGGAAAATGCTATTTAACGATAAATGCAAGATGATACGGGCTATTTTAATTTCTGAATTTAGAGTTTGATTTTCAGTGAAGTAGGATTAAGCTTTAAGTGACTGTGTAACAGTTTTTTTTTTTAAATTAGTTTTCTGGTCAGATTGCTGATTTTCATAAAGGTTAATTCTGTGTACAATTCTTTTACTTGTTGAAATTACCTTTCAGAGTTCAGTCGAAAGGTGAATAAACACATAGTTGAGTGATTAGGAATTTGGCAGCTACTAATGCCAAAACGTCATTTCCGATACGATATGAGAATTTTTTTTATTTCAACTATATTTGCTGACAAAACTACAAACCCCAGGTGAAAAAAATTCCAAATCCCAAATCAAGTCGGTAACACGATATTTATTTTACGTAATACCCGCACAGGCGGCATGGGCGCCAAACCTATTAGTTTGGGATTTGGTAGAATCCCAAACAGTATTTACTAGGTTTCGCTAATTTGCCGTAATGTCAAACGTTCTGACATATAAATTATATTACGGTTAGAAATCCAAATTTTTTACGTGTTTGGGACTCATCCCAAACAAAGAGATTGTTTAAAGCCCGGCACCTTGGCCAATAAGATCACGAAATTTTGACTTCAAACCGCGATTTACCTATAAGTTACCTTGTTTTGCATACTCTTCATATAGCCAACATTTGTTTCTACTCTGGATATATCGATAATTTTTTTTCATTAGCAAAAAAATTTAAAATGCGATACAGTGAGTTATATCACGAACCAAGCATCGCCCAAAAATCAGTTCCTGCTTTAAAACTCAAAATTATAATTCCGATAGTTTAACTTCAATTTCGTAATACTTATCGATAATACTCATAATGAGTCATATATACTTTTTTTCTTGTACAAAATTAAAACAAAAAAAAAAAAAAAAGATCGTAATAACAAAAATCAATAGTATTGTCATTATGGATGTTTTATTTTGCAAGTCATGTCAAAGCTTTAAACAATTAGAAGCTTTTCATGGAAATAATAAGACTTGTTCTGAATGCTTGAAACGTAAAAACAAAAGCCGTAAAGAAAAGGCTGCCAGCATTTTGTTTAATACGAAAGAAAATGCAATAGATATCGAAGATATTGCAACTAAAATTTATGAAGCGCTTGTCAATATAGATAATATTGATGAGAGTTTAGAAAGTAATTGTAGGTTCGATTTTGAATTAGCAATCAATTTAAGCACTTTAATTGAGGAAATTCCTTTGAACGTTGAACAAGATCAGCATGAACAATACCTTGCGAATAGAGTTGTCAAACTTGTTGAACAGGGAGATGGTTATAATTATGTATATCGTACTAAAACAATTTCACAAAAAAAAAAAACAAACCCATTTTATTATTGGTGTAATTGTCGTGAAGAGCTGGCTTCAAAGCACAAAAAGCATAATGATGTTTTAAAGCAACGAAATACTGGAACATACTTAACTCGATATAAATGTGAGGGACTTCTTTCAATTTCTGTTGATATAACAAATAAATATGCAAATATCAAGCTTAGTCACAATCAACTTCACCGAAGACCACGACATGTTGGTGTAACTGACCAAGTTAAACAGTATGTTCGTGAACATTTAATACTTAAATCATCAGAACTTTATCGGGAGATTTTAACTAAAAAACTTGATGGATTTGAGAATCTAACAATAGATCAAGTATATTTTTGGTGGGCCCGTGAAGCATCAGCATTTTATCGACGACATAATGATCAATATTTATCTGCAAAATTACTTTTAAATGAGAAAAATTATAAGGTTATGCTTGATTTGGATGAGCCAATACATGTATTTAGTTTTCTAACAGGTTTTTTTAGTAAATTACCATGTGAGACAATTATGATAGATGCCACTTATAATACAAACCAGTTAAAGTATGAACTTTATGCATTGATGACAATAGTAGATGGAACAGGATTTCCGCTTTCTTATTGTTTTGTAGAAGCTAAAAAAGGGCAAGATCTACGTGCAGCTATAACTGCATGGTTTAAAGAAATGACTTAAAGAGGTAAAAATAATTCTTACTGATAAGGATTTTGTACAAATTAGCTGTTTGGAAAGATGCAGAAATCCAATTATGTAAATGGCATGCACGACGAGCAATCGAGCAAAAGCTTTCTTCTCAATATAATGGTAGTTCATCTCATTATAATTCTACTATTGCACATCAACAGTGCTCAGTTATTGATCCATTATGGCAACCAATACAAAATAGTAATGTAGATTCTAAAAAAAAAGTTTTTTTAGAAGCAACTTTATGAAAAGAAATTTTAGAATATATTGATACACATTTTCATCGTCACATGCTAATTCCTACAGCTGATAAGGAATTTGTCACAACATCAAAAGAAATTTGGATGCGTGCTACTAATGAAATATTTCAATATTGTTATCATCGCAATTTATTTCATGTATGGTGCTATTTATGGCTAGAATGGTACCGCTGGGACCGCTGGTGTCTTTGGGCACTATCAGCACATAAAAATTTTTCTATAATTTGTACAACAATGATACTTGAGTCTCATTGGAGAATTCTTAAACGAGATTTTTTATATAAGTTTAATAGCCTACGGCTTGATATTCTTTGTCATGTTATAATTGATCGAATGTTACCAAAGTTATTTCACCGTTACAATCTTCTAGTTAATGGAAGAATTCAACCTTCTTGGAGAAAAGATTTCAAAGCCGAATGGAAAAATCTTGCAAACCGGCAAGTAAAAAATTTGGATAAATATCTTACTATTCAAGAATATTGGATTTGTTCATGTCCGATGTTTCTCAAAAACCGGTTCATGATTTGTAAACACTTAGTTGCACCATTAGGAAATATGGAAAATTCATTTTTTCATAAGGTTCAACGAGATAATAAGTACCCATTTATTTACGAAGCTCAACAAACAGTTTGGGAGATTATCAAAGATAATTTATCTTCTATATCAACTGAATTTACAATTAAAGATCCTGTGATTGATTATGAAGAAGCTGAAGATAATTTAAATTTAGATGAATATAATTCAAACACTAACGATGAAGAAATTACAGATACTAAAGCAATCGAATTAAAGACAATTCTAGAAAAGGTATTTATTTACAAATATAATAGCTCATACTTCATATAATTTATTAATATATAACTTTTTATAACTTTTTTAGGCGGTGAAATTTATTGAAAAATCATCAACCCTTCCTCAGCAAAAAAAAATGGCTAAGTTCGATTGAAAACAATTTTAACCCAATCAAACGAATGGTAGAAGACTTAGAAGGGTTTGAAAATGCGAAAAACATGGAAAGGACGTAATTCAAACACTTTCTACTGGCAATAGATCTGTTTTTAATGTAAAGAATTTGATGGATAAAATCTATTATTCAATACTAAAGAATCTTCAGAGAATGCAGAGCCGTACAAAGAATACATATGATTGAAAAAATAAAAATGTAATAATTTCAATTCGCATTTATTTTAAACGTGAAGTTGTAGTATCAAATCGATCCAAATAATTTTTATTTGTTGAGCGAAAGTTTTTTTTTTTAAAAAAAAAATGGTTAAATTCATAATTTACTATCATCGTAAAAATAAATTATATAATTAAAATGAACATGCGAACTTATAATACAAAAAATAATTATGTGCGGCATTCATCTTTTGTTTTATACATATAAAAAAAAATTACCAATAAATTAACCTATCGGAGCACTGAGTTTAATAACCCGATCCGGATCTGATTTTTGGGTGATGCTAGGGTGGTTTGAGTTATATCGACATTTTATATTAAAATTTTTGAAAATTTTTTGATATAAAAAGATTTTCAGATGTCGGTATAACCAGAGTGACGTATATAATTTTACCGTTACAATATTGATAGAATAAGCCATTAGGGGCAGGGCACAAAATTCTATTGTAAAATACTGGAGGTTCCGTTTAGTTAAGTTGACTTCCGGCGTAGTTTTAAAACGGCCGGAAATTTTATATATTAAATATATTGCAGGAGTTTCTAAATTTCGTTTACCGAAAAAAAAGCAGGTTACGTCAACTGGAAATTTTGTGCCCTGATTAGGGGGGTTTCAAAGTTAACAAATAAGTGGCGTATTTTGAATTAAATGAGAGTTTGAAAAATCTTGTTTTTCAAGATTTTAAAATCGGAAAATGAAATGGGGTGTTTGGAGATCCCCATTTCATGAAATCAGAAAATTTTTATAATCGTAAAAAAAAAGTAAAACTTTCGTTCAAACTGAAGATAAGGTCAGATTGCCGGATCACTTATTTCAAAATAATACGTCATCAATTTCAATTAAAATTAGATTTCCGCGTTTTAACTATAACAAATTTCATTTTTTTATGCCTGTATGCAGATCCCAAATCAAGTAAAAAAATAAGTCTATGCTACGTACGTACGTAGTGCGATACATATTATACATAAATTGATAATACGGGTAGAACAAGTATAACTTGCACATATCACAAATTTAAAAAGTTTAAATAGTTTTTATATTTAAAACAATGACTAGACAAGGAAATTTAACATATCATAATGATATTACAGAATTATGTTCCCTTGATCAACATTTCGATTGCATTTTCTTATTACATCATTTAACTCATGCATACATCGAATACTTCAAAAATCTCAAGGTGAAATTATAAGAATGGATTGTCTAATCAGAAGCGTTTAAATATAACCATATTCTTCGTTGCATTTCTTTCTTGATATTATCTGACAATCAGTTTCTTCCTAAGTTTTAACGATGAATATGAATTCTGTTTGTTTATTGCCTGACTAACAATAAATAAACAATCATTTGGCAATTTTATTTGCGCTTACAAGTAAAAGAGACATTGATATTCCCAACATTCAAACAAAATTTTTACATGTCATTGGCTTAACTATATTTAATTAATCGATCCCTTGAATTGGATTCGATCTTTATATTATCAATCTTTAAACATGGATATACATGATTAAAAGTCAATTTGTTGAATAATTTAAAGATTATTCTATTAAATGCCGAATATTTATTTAATGAATTAATAGTTTTGAGTTTACGGGTTTTGGTTATGAACCCAAACTAGGTAAAAATACCGATTTCCCAAACCCAAACTAAGTAGAAACGCCGTAACTAAAAAAAAGAGTTTGGGTCGCAACCCTAGCGGGCACAAAGTTCCAGACACATGTTGCAGGGACACGGAAAAAATGCGAATTTATTATAAGAATTTCAAATCCTATAAATAAAATCGCACTTTTTCCGCGTCCCTGACATGTTGGTACCTTGTGTTATAAGCATAAAGACCTGATCAAAATTACTAGACATTAGGGCACAAGGTGCCTGGAACTTTACATGCGTGCTTACAAAATGCCCGGAACTTTCGCATAAGCAACCTTGTAAGCACTGATGCCAAGCATGATGCCAATATGCCCGGTATGGGCATTTGCAGACCCTTAATAACGGCTTTATCTCTAATTTGTTAATCATTAATTAAATGTATAAGCATAGCGTCGTCAGAAAAAATACCGTAAAAGATCATATACAAGACCCGGGTCTGTTACATTCCACCGATTTAAAACCTATAGTAGACCTAAGGTCTAGTGCACAGCTGATGTAGCAAGGTAAACTCTAAAGTACATACATACTTTGCATTTGTAATAAGCAGTCTAGGTTTTTAAAAACATCTGCATTTATTTAGTAGAGATCCTGTGATTCATACACGAGTCTAATTCATAGGGGATCTGATATATGGGGGATCTTTTATATGATCTTTTACGGTAGTACCCTTGACTTTCACTTTGATTTTGAGAATATTTGCTGTATTACTTCACAAAAATAAAGAGCGTCATACTTTTATATACATAGTATCACATAAGTGATTCAAAGTTTACGAACATTTACCTATTTTATTCTCATTAATATCATCACATAGTACTGCACATATACAGTATACAATTTGTTTAACTTCTAGGTAGTATTAAGACTACTGTAGTATAAAAAAGATTAATAAATAATATTGAAAAATTTTTTTTTTGCCAATTAAATGCTCTTATAAAGGATCAATTTATAGTAAATGATTTAAGTTTAATTATATAGTAGTTTAACCTAGGGATGTTGAATTAAAATATTGTTAAATCGTATGAAATTTAAATTACCAATGCTCGAAATAGATGTAGTTGTATGAAATTTAGATTTAGTGTCAGAACTACGCGGATTTCTTTGATCATAAATTGAGAAATTTTTTTGTGATACACAATTCGGCTCACGATGGAATTCTGATTGAATTGTACGTACAAAATGAAAGTATAAGTTACTATTAGGAAATTTTAAATAGGGTGGATATCGATATTGGTAGCTAATCGATGCGCAATTCGATTAAAAAATAATCGATTTTAATTTAGGTTTGATATCAATCTATTTCAATCAAAGCGATCTAATCGATTTTAATTAGCAGCTTTGTTGTCAATTGATTCTAATCAGTATCGCTGGTAATCGGCAGGGGTGCTGCTTATCGATTGACATTTATTTCTGTCAATCGATTGCCAACCAATTTAAAATTTTCCTGATGACATTAGGGGGTTTCAGAGCTAAGGTTCAAGTTTCTGTAAATTAGTAACGTATTTATGTCGAAATCAGTGATCTATAAATCATATTTAATTTTATTTGTAAGCTTATTTATATAGGGCGATACAAATAAAATAAATTGGTTTTCATATCCGGCCGGGTCAAAAAAATGGCTGAGGCGAAATTTTTTTATGTCGCAGTAAGTAATTAACCAATAAAAATGCATAATTATCATGTATTGTAAACACCCTTAACCATATATACTGTGCTCCGGAATAACAAGTTCTGTAACAGTAACTCATAGTATCCCAATGCAAACTAACTTGATATTAACCACAAGTTCTGTAGCAGATGATAGTCATATACATTAGAAATATAAAAACCTCGATACAAAACTAACTCAACCTTAACCACTGTGTAATAAGTCCTAAAATTTCTTACGATAAAAATTATTATGATTCTAATACAAATCAACTCAACCTTAATTACATACTATAAGTCACTGGAATGGCAAGTTTTGTAACAATTTTTTTTAACAATAACTCGCACTAGAAGTCATGATAATTCCAATGCAAGATAGCTCAACTCTAACCATTGTGTGTACTACATTAGCAGTAATTCTAACAGAATTTTTACTTTAACTCATGATAGAAATCATGACAAACAAATCAACCTTAACCACATACAGTGGTTATTAGCCTAGCAGAGTTGGGCAGCCTCTATGTTCGATGAATTTTACCGAATCAGATAAATGGCACATGACTATAACAGATAATCGTAAAAATTGGCAGTATATTACTGTCCTAATTATTTAGTTTGCCTGACTCTGAACAGAGGTTTCTTATTTCTAAAAAAAATTACGCACAATTTTAGAAATTTAAATTTCATCGGACAACCCACTTGTCCGATTACCCAACCCTGCTCAGTGGCTACAGGAATAGCAAGCTCTGTTACAAAATTTTTAACAGTAGCTCATCATAGAAATTACTAGAGCTATTACCCAAGTCGGTTGACCCGTACGGGTCACGGGTCGAAAATTGCTCTAACCCGGGTCAAACGGGTCAGAATTGCAAAACCTACTAAACACTATATTACAGTACCTAATTTAGGGTCCGTATCACTTCGTAGAAGTTTATTTCACAGACACCTTTGTTTCACAGACAATCAATTCATAGATGAGTTTATTTTAAAGACAATTAATTTACAGACAATATTTCATAGACAGTTCATTTTATAGACATTTCATTTTGTAGACTATCTTTAACTAATTCAGAAGTTATTTGCTATTAAAGATTGTCTATAAAATAAATTTGTCTATAAAATAAACTGTCTATAAAATAAACTGTATAAGTTAATTGTCTTTAAAATGAACTTGTCTATGAACTGATTGTCTGTGAAACAAGGCGTCTATGAAATAAACTTCTACGGAGTGATACGGACCCCATAATTTACTATATAGATAGAAGACATTATAGTTTACTAAATAGTAAAGCTCGTCTAACCCGTACGGGTCAGCTTCTTGAGGGGTCACATATTTCCTGGTGTAGAAAATGGGCGAACTCAAATCATGAGCAAGATCAAAAATTTTTTTCCGAAAAATTCCAATTTAAATAATTTGTTCTCTATACTAACAGCTCTAATTAAGTGTCATTACATCAATTTTTAAGGATTAGCTTTAAAAACTTTATGAATTTCCACTTGACCCGTTGACCCGGGTAAGAGCTTTAGAAATTACAATAATTCTAATACAAACCAATTCAACCTTAACTACATAGAAATCATGAAGTTTCTATGTAAATCAATTAACCTTAGTCACATACTATGGCCACAAAATAGCGAATAAGCGTAACAGGTTTTTTTTACAGTAGTTATGGTAG